GGGGACGGGGGACGGGGGACGGGGGGGAAAGCGTGATTGGTTAACCTCGCTCTGCGTCCACAGAGGTCAGAGAACGTGCTCGCCTGTTCATGAGTATGTTTGTATAACTACACAGGAAGTCACCGAGTGGGGCGCGGGGGGATACGCAGAGCTAAAAATAGACCGTCGATGGACTGGTTATCACGATAAAGCTCGGGGGAAGGTGGTCTCGGTGGTCTCAGGGAGTACGTGTGGGAACGGGGAGGTTCAGGGGACCAAGTGTTCACGGATCATGGTTCCATGGCATCCTGGTTGCCACCAGGTTGCTTCGTGCGCGTGAGGGAAATAGTTACAGAGACCAGGGTTACACCGATATAACTCACTAAAAATATGATCTCACAGGTGAACAAGAGCAAGGCTCTCTCACAATAATCCCCGGGTGGAATGTGTGCGAAGGAATAAAAACGAGCTGGTGCAGATCTGACCCTCTGGGCTCAATGTAGCTAACCTAAATATGCTGTACATTGTAAAAAGAGACACGCGCATCCTCCGATTGCTCAATTGAGGCAATTAATCATGCTGGATGCTTTGGTAGATCCATAAACTACATGCGAAGATTGTGCAGCTGAGCACAGATCCCAAGGTGTCTAAATATTTGCTCTTTTTCTCTAAGTCTCTGAAACCGTGTGTAAAATGATGCAGAGGAAATAAATCTTCGCAGTCAATATAATTGTGCACCCGTACATTTGAATTCCATTTAAAACTACCCAAGAGGGAACAATAAGTAAAGACTGGCTTTCAAGATCCTGCAACAGTACAGACAAAACAATTCTGTCATTAAAACCCTGAACTTGTTTACCCAGAATCCTTTTCAGGACAGCGCAAGCTTAGCGCAGTAACCACAGAAGAACAGAGAGGAACGTGAGAATCATTCATCCACCTTTTATTAAATGACATTCCTCTATTATCCTTTCCCATTCTCTCATGCCTCTTTTTTCCAATTTTCCTCATCGCACACACACAGTCATCCTTATTTACACTACAAAGCCCGGGCTGCAGATTCAGCAATGCAACATGGCAACACTCTGACAGGAGCGTCTGCTACCACGACAACAAATCAGTGCCTGGCAACGCAGCCTTGCCATGGAAACAAGCTGCAACATCTACATTTGCTGAATAAAAAAATAATATTAACGCCAGATATGACACCCGGCGAATTGCATACGCAGCCGCTTCACAAAAGGTGTTCAGCTTGAGCCCCTTTTGCTCTGCGGAGCCGCAGGTCTGTGCTTTCTCTCCCCTCCCCCACATAGGACAGTCTGACCACCCCTTCTTGTGTCTTCTCCCGAAATACACACCACTCATCAAACGTGTGAAACCCACAGTGAGGACAGTTAAAGTGTGGCCAGAGGGAGCAGACTCTGCACTACAGCTTCGGTTCGAACACACGGACTGGAGTGTGTTTGCCACTTAGTCCACACTGGACTCCCACACTTACATTGATTCCTATGCCTCTTCCGTTCTGGACACCAACATCGACCGTGTCCCCACACTTAAAACGAATCACCACCTTCCCCTACCAGAAGCCATGGATGAACAAAGAGGTCCACCTACTGCTGAAGGCACGAGACACCGCTTTCAGATCAGGTGATGCTCAAGCCTACAGTTCATCCAGGGCTGACCTGAAGAGGGGCATCAAGCAGGCAAAGCACTGCCACAAGCTAAGGATTGAGGAGCACTTCAAGAACAACTCCGACCCCCGTCGCATGTGGCAAGGCATCCAGGCCATAACAGACTACAAACCCACCAACACCACCCCCCAAAACAATGATGCCTCCTTCCCTGACAAGCTTAACAGCTTTTATGCACGCTTCGACAGGGACAACCAGGAGGCCGCCACCAAGGCTGCGCTCACTTCAGACCACCAGCCCCTCACACTCTCCTCCACCGACGTGTGTGCTGCACTGTGCAGGATTAATGCACATAAGGCTGCTGGCCCTGATGGCGTCCCCGGACGCGTGCTCAGGGCCT